GGAACTGGTCCCTGGTCCCCCCAAAATTGGGGAGGGCTGCTCTAAAGCATGATAATATGTGAATATGAATGTCTTATTGCCTCAAGTGACTCTCTGAGAGAAAAAAGATTCCACAGTTGCAATGGCAATTCCAAAATGTTTTTACCTGATACACTGTGGGCTGAGAAAGAAATCTGATTTTGGAGGAAAAACTCCTATGTCAAGCTCCCTTTTCCTTCCTGCCATTGTATTTTTCAAAATAAGACAGATGAGAAAGAACATGTTATTAGAAATATCTATGGATCTGCTGCATACCTCACCATTCTTCAGCTGGACTGAATTAATTCCCTGCTATTATTTGCAATGGGATGGAAATAAATGATGCAAACCCCCACCTCTCTTTCTCCTTATTTATTCCCTGTGCTATGAGCTGAAGGCAAGCTAGTAGGGCTTTCCATTCCACACAGAAGCAGTGTGACTACCTGTATCATTTCCTTATATCAATGAACATATTCATTGATTTGCTTCACAAACTAATCTACAGGTACAAGGCAAATGTATTGCCTTTTTTTTCCTTGGGAAACTTTAACATATGAAAAAGAGAGGAAAGGAAAAAAGTCATTATTGAATATTAAAGAAAACAACAGCAACAGATATAGAAGATACTTTATCTTAATTTGTAAACGCATTATTAAAAACTTCACCACATGAAATAATACTGATGCATTGCAATTTCATGCCATGTGTTGCAGATTAGTGACCAAAATTTGGATGTCTGTCAGCAAATATGTCCAAACTCTATTATATAACTTGATTTATCTCTGTTTTTCAGGCACCAAGAGAGCCTCCCCATTTTCGATTACATATTGCACAAAGAGGTGGAATATAAGAAAGGATCTGGGAGATAAAAGCTATCGGAAGACATAATTTTGAATTGCCATGACTGACTACATGATGAAGGACTTTATATGACAAGTGATTCGTTGCTCTTAGGGCTTAAATTTCTGGCTGCTGAACCTACTTGGTCATGGGGACACTTAAGCACCAGCTCTGACTTTGCATCCCATATCAGGGTAAGATAATCATTTATGGGATGGCACATCTTTGCCCGGAGGCAGGGACGGTACATAGTTAATTTTAGTGCCTTCTCCATATTTTTCACATTAACAAACCTCTGGAACTAAAGTATTTTTGCTGCAAGGTTACACTTTCTAAATATATAATGCATCATGAGGAATTCACCACGTAAAGCACCATGTACCTAGGGCAAAGGTCTCCAAACTTGGCAACTTTAAGACTTGAGGACTTCAACTCCCAGAATTCTCCAGCCAACATAGGAGGGAGGGAGGGGAGAGGGAGGGAGGGAGAGAGAGAGAGAGAGAGAGAGAATGAATGAATGAATGAATGAATGAATGAATGAATGAATGAATGAATGAAT